TCGACTCGACTCGAAAAAAACGAGTTGAATCGAGTTGATCCTTAAACTCGACTCAACTCGACTCATTCGGAACTCTAGGTACGATGCCAAATTTACTGATCTGCAAAATCGTACCGTACCGTACTTGTCCTATAATAGAGTGTAGTTATTATAGGACAAGTACGGTACGGTACGATTTTGCAGATCAGTAAATTTGGCATCGTACCGTACCGTACTTGTTCTATAATCGTACCGTACCGGTCTGGAGAATCGTACCGTACCGGTTTTCCATATACTCTGAATGTAATGATAAAATCGTATGAATCACTTTTTTCGCTTGCCGATAAATTAATTTTATAAACTTTTTTTTACTATGCTTATATCATTTATGTCATTATATATTTCGTGTTACCAATTAAGAGTTTATAAAGATCATTTTACAATTCAATCACGATGTATTCAGAAAGTACATCCGTAATCGTCAAAGTTACTCATTTTGACATTCATATAATTGGAATTCTAAATATGTTAAAAATTTTTTATAAAAAAGATAAAAAGACTGGTTTGTAATTCCCTGATTATGTTTAACGTTATCAACTTGACCTATCATAAATGACTAACTTATCTGAAACTAAAGATGCGAGCATCTACAATGAGATCGTTCGTCTGGAATTTGCTCAAGAAGCAAAAATTTGTTTATTTTCTTATTTCACAGTCAATGAAAAATCCAGATGTAGCGCCGAGAAAGCCCTTTCCTTTTGCAAAAGCGACGAGGAAAAATATTCATACCTAAGCAATATTTTAATTTGTACGTTTCTCATTTCTAATCATGTTTTTTGTTCTTTTATATATTCTAATGGTATTATCGTGCTAACTTAACGTAGTAATTGAGAGTCCTTCTCATGAAATGTCTAGTCCTGAGGCTGAGGAGGTGAAGTTTAATGATGCAGATCTCAAAAAATTTGTTCAAAAACTAAACCTTAAACAACTTGAACGATTTGAGCCATTAAAAGACGAAGATGTAAAGAAATTCTATGGTACATAATAAATCTGTTTCAGTTTGATTTATATATATAAATTATATGTATCTTTATTATCACTTCACAGATTTTGCCGGGCCTGATTTCACTTGGCCATCCACAAGTGATATCAATGAGCGCCGTGCCATATACGATCACATCACTTATCCTGATCCCCGTTTTCAAAAAGGCCAAGGGGAAGAAATTGCAATCAACAGGCTTGCATACCGTCGTCTTATTGAGTCCGGAAGTCTGGATTCATCTAAAGGAGACTATGTTCATATTGAACATGGAAAATTGGTGGGTTATGGGACCAAGTTATCAGTAGAGGAATATATGGAGTTGATAAAAAATAATCCTGGTATGTTATACTCTCCGATTAAGCAAGAGGTGGTTAACATAAGATTCTCCTCCATTGCAAATATTAAATTAAAGGAATGGCAGGTATGTGTTACTTTTTCATGTGAATATTATATTGGGCATTGTTGGGAACTTTCTTTGCTATCATACCAGGTAAATATGCGAATTCGGAAGAAAGTTGATTGTAACGACATTGCAATAATGACGAATGTTGACCATGACACGGATAATCATAATCAAGAATTTCGTCTTATAATGGATTCAGGGTCAACAGTAACCATTATACCATATTATATAAGATTGAAAATGACATACGATTATGGTTGGAATACAACCCCATCCAGATTAAATGGTTATGGTTCAGGTTTGGATGTTTTTAAGGTTTCGATTCCTTGGGAGGTTTCATTGGGCGATGGGAGTAACTGGACGGATTGGATAGAAACTGAAGAGTTATATTGCTGGCAATTTAAAGTTCCCGACAACACCATTGATTGTGGTTTAGTAGGATTTGATGTATTAAATGCTATACACCATATTAAAATTCCAGGGAGGCCGTATATCTTTGTAACACAAAATGATAGTATGAACCAACTGCAACAAATTTATAACAACTGTTGACAATCTTATTGGAATCATCTTGGAGAAAATAGAATTGATTCTTATAAAATGGATGCGTAGATTTACAAATGAAATGATTTTTAGAATTTCAACTGGAATAGAAAATGATGCTATTACTTTTTATTATAATACCCTTATCAACTGTTGACAAGAGATCATATTTGAACTGATGATAAGCAAAGCTTAGGATAAAATTAAAAATTAGAGATTATGTACAATGTTCATACAAATAAATGCTTTTTTTTTATATTTGCAAACTTATTTTTTTTTATTTGCCAAGAAAAATTTTTTATTAATATATGAAAAAAATAAATACAAATGTTCGGGACGTAGTCCGCGATACATAAAGTTTCTATTATACATGCTTATTTTTTTGAACGATATTCCTTTATTCTAGCCTTTTTCTTTGAGGGAGAATCCTCTTCCGCACATGCCCTATCCTTTAATAAATCTACTACTACGCCCAACACCTTTTTCATGCCATTACATAGTAATTTACATTCTTTGAATTCTTTATTCAAGGCCTTCTTGTTAAATTCGATAATTACGGGAACTTCACTCGCCTGTGAAATTTCACCCGGGGAATAAAACAAAAAATACCAATCCCTAGCTGAAGTCACGATACCATAGAGATAGTTGAAATCATCATCGTCGACCCGTTTTCATTTTTTCTTGTTCGTTTCGTACGAACTCTCAAGTTGTTTGATATTTTGGGCGAAGCCTTCGAGTATGCTATACTGAACCTTGTCTTCTGTGACACAAAGAAGGTTCTCGGCCTCCTATCCACCCATTCACATAGATCATGGTCAGTGATCAAATATTATAAGAAAAAAATCAACTCACGATAACTAGGAATTCCTGTACCTTGATTGCATAATCAACTCGCCCGCAACATTCATCACCAATTATTTCATATTCAGGTTTCATGCTGAATTCCTTACCTGTATCATCTCCTGCAATGTGTAGTGCCTTATGAAGCATGGTCAAAACGTATTCATTACGCATAGATTCCAAACTATCCAAAACCAACGACCCGTAATGTTTCATCCTGAACAAAATATTCTTCACACAATGCTCGAAGTGCTTGTCGGAGTCTTTAATTTTGTAGGTTTGTAGAGTAAATAGTGGGATGGTGTCCGTACCATTTGAGTCAATGCCATACTTTTTCAATACTTCCTTCAAACTGCGGTATGACGAGAACGCTTTTAATTTTTTCTTCTTACAGTCCTTAGCGAACTTTGCAAGTCTCGTCGCTGGTCCACCCTTCATGCCATAATCTCGAAAATCTTGCTTAGTCATGTCGAGGAAGTCCTGGCCACCCACTCTCTCATTTTCGATTATATCAAAGTCGTCCTTCACAAGGTTTAGGCCCTGTCCCTTCAGAAACTCTAGCCCTGTTCAGTTCTAGATCGGATCGTTCGGATCGGAAAAAAAAGTAACCAATCAAATCATAGTTACAATTGAGCACGATTTTTTGAATTTTTACCATGAATCGCAATTATTGTTAAAAACCTTTCTAGATGAGCTTGAAGAAGAGGAACTTGAAGAAGAGGAGGGAACTTCGAGTGAGGAAGAAGAGAGTATTATTTTAAAAGCTACTTTAGTACAACAATTAACTACACGATATCTAAAGTCACGAATACACTACGTAGCAAAATCAAAGCATTGGTGGCGAAATGTTCTTCCATCCTATGATCCTGTTCGATTTAAAAAACTCTTGCGAACGTTTCCACATCATTTTCAACAATTAGCAGATCTTATACGCCACCATCCTGTATTTTTACCACAAGGAAATAAACCTCAAGTTTGTGTTGAATTTCAATTAGCTGTATTCCTTTGTCGACTT